TCGGACAAGCTTGGGTAGGGCTTGCAGCTTCGCATTCTCACTGCCGGCCTTCGACGTCATAACTCCTTACTCTGCCCGCCGCTGCACACGCTCCGCGATGCAAACCCACACACGCCCTGAGCCGTGATGCGAGCAGAGTTCATAGGGCCTCGCACACAGCCTTCTCTCGTCTGGGCCGTAGCACTCGTGACGGACGCCTATGACCTCTTTGTCTCTCCGGGTGGGTACGCCCTAGAAGATGGGTTGCGCGTAATTCCGCTCAGCGTGAGTATAAGTGCAGCACGGCTGTCCAGTGCGAATGCGTATCTCGTTCTGAAGCGAGCCTTGCGACAGTCTCCGACCCAGAAGCTTCACCTGCAGTTCACGAAACCATGCTCGCACAGTGCACGAGGATCCGTACCCTCTCCGCGTTCTCCTCGGCCGCACGGTCGGGTCGTGCCCGTTTCTCGACCAGTGCCCTCGTCCGCGCCGTACCGTCCGCTAAAGGGGGGCCTCTGCCGCCCTACGGCCCGGTCGGCGTCGCTAGAGCCCTTGAAGCAGCCCGTAACACTGTGTACCTCCGAGGTCGCAAAATTCACCAGGGGTTTCTTGAGTGTTTCGTGATGCTATTGAACATGTTCGTCAAGGTAAACTCACCACGTATTCGGCGCTTCGGAAGATCACCAGGTGGTGAAAACTTGAGTAACTTCACCATGTATTTGACCGATTTCACCATGTTCTCACACGACGGAAACTGCGATAAACAACATGTTTATCGAAGAATACTCCGAGCTTTATGTTGAGGGAGATCAGTAGTTTACACCGGGGTTTCCGCGAGATCGTTAGTAGGTGTTACTGCAAGGACTCATGTTGAATCTGACCAATACGAGGTCCTCCGAATGAAAATGATTTATGGTGAATTTCCTAGTGTATCGAACGGGTCTGGGGGCTCGCCGCTTTCCCGATTGGTAGCCAAAACACTCAGAAATGGTGGCAGATAATAAAATCAGATTCGCGCGCGCTACTGGAGTGTACGAATCGGGAAAGTACACGAGCGCTCAGCACACTTCAGACGAGTCGGGCGGTACGCTGTCTACTGGATCTGCACCACCACTACGCCCTCGCATGCCTTCGAGCACCCCCCCTCGCCGTCTTGATCTGCGCGCGGTCTATGTATCCTCGCTTGACTGCGTGCCTGCGCTTGTTCTGCAAGGACTGCTTGGCTAGCTCAGCGGTAAACCAACTGTTCTGGAATTGCTTCAAGATAGGGTGGTCGTCGGATGCCTGCTGGAACAAGCGGTGAACACGGGTACTACGGTATGTCAAACAATCGACGAACGTACCGCATGATAAAGGCGCGCGAGGCTCTCGGGATCCTGGCGACGAAGGTCGTCCGTCCAGCCCAGGTTGGCCTTGATTACGAGGTTTCGGACGGTGCGCTGCATAAAACATGGTGAGTGTTTACGGTATGGTTACGAGAGTGCCGTGCTCTACCTGGACGGCCTTATAGTCCTCATTGGACAGGCCTGAAAGATGTTCAAGGTCCTTGATCTCTCCCTGAGGCTTGGGGATGAGAGGGAGGTCGTTCGCGGAGCCGCCTGCCGCCGCTCTTGCAGTGCGCTCTACCTCTGCAACAGCTTCTTCATGGGCGGCCGTGGCAGCGAGCGCGGCTGCTTTGAGCTGATCAACCGTGTCTTTAACTGCCTGTAGCTCAGCGACGAGCTCTTCACGCTCTATGTGTACTCTAGTTCAGACATCTCTAAGAACAGCTGCAAGATGTGGACTGACCTGCGACTCCTGTAGCAACGGTCTCCTCGAGCTACCTGACCATCACCTCAAGGTCTTCTTTCAACATCCCAGAGCGCTAGAGCAGTGTTAGGTGTCTGTGAGGGAGGGTCGACGGTACGTCCACTTACCTTAGTAGATGCCATGCCGATTGACGGCGGCGGCGAACTTGAAGGCAGTAGCGGGTCACTCTGGGAGAGATGGTTGGGAGCGGAAAGTCGGAGGTGGATATATGTCGACGCTGTCGGCTTTTTATGTACATCGGGCACCTATGCACTCAATTCTTCCTTTCTAGTCACTGTGCGGACAACCTAAGACATTGTGTGAGCCCCGTTCTGGACCCCGCGCGACGACGCGCACATCGTCATAGCGCGCTCGCGTGCGTTGTGCGGCTATACCCGAGGCAGCGCGGCCTTAGCGCATTCTGGATGTGTGCACGCGAGACCATCTCTTCGCTTGCTCACGATCAACGGCCACTACACAACATCCACCACCTCTCTATCTGCTACTGCTACCTCAACTATGGCGAAAGTCCGATGCTCTCACTGTGGCAAGGATGTCTCGTCATCCACTCAATTCCGCCATCTCACCGGCAAGGCACCTGCGACCCTTCAAGCTGCCGCACTCGCCAACAACCGGACGTGATTCCAAGGTCCAAAAGCAGTCAAACGGCGACACGTTGAAGATCACTTGGCCGAGCGAGGAGAAAGAGAAGCAACGCCGGATGGCGCGATAGATAGGATGGACGCAACCGTTGGGTTCGAGACGGTACGTCGCATAACATACTTGTCTGTAAATAAATCGTTGTTTTAATACTATTGTGTGCATACATCCAGACCACGAAGAGCCTGAGGCAGATGGCACGTCTCCTGATCTCGCTGAGGCTGCCATGCGTACTGCGGGTTACAGTGCTTGGTGGGTCGACTGCGGGACCGAGGACGGTGGGCAATAATCGACCACAGTGGGTCCCTCTCACGCGCTCTGTATGCTGACGATGGTTCCGGAGAGGAGGGGGAGGACGCTGGCGGTGCAGCTTTGTAGTAGTACATGCATGCGACTCGGATATCTTGGTGCTCGCGTCGAGTCGTCGGAGTCTGTATACAATAGATGTCAAATGATATATTTTCAGTGCAGTAGCCCAATGTCAGTCTATGCACGTGCGCGCGGCCGCAACGTTAACTAGAACGAGCTCGCAATCGCCGCGGCGGCGCGCGCGTGTGCATAGGGCATTGTATGCCTCTCCCTTGTCACCTGCGGAATCACTCATGTTTCGCGGTGATATTCGCCTGCCGCGAGCGAGCGCTTTCGACGTGGTAAACTTCACCAAGATAAGCGGCGTCTCACGCGTTAGACATTTTTACCATGGCATTCACCACGCTCAACTAACCACCATAAAACATCGCAAAACGGGGTTTTCACCAAGCTTCTTCGACAACCTACCGGTGTTTGGGGCGCACAGTGTAAGTCCACGACTGCGACCGGTCACAGGGTCCTTATTTTACTACCTAGGGCCAACCCCGACTCTCTTTGAGTACGAGTTCGCACTCACAGACCGTGTCGCGCTAGTAACGGGCGGGAACCGCGGGATTGGGCTCGAGATGGCGATGGCGCTCGCCGAGGCGGGCGCACGAGCCGTGTATTGTGTTGACCTCCCCAAAGAGCCCGGAGAGGAATTTGTGAAGACGAAGGCGTATCTCGGTAAGATGGAAGGCAGGAATGGCGAAGGGCGACTGGAATACATTGAGGCGGACGTCACCAACCAGGTAGGTGCGCTGAGTTTGAATCTACTATCTGTGTAACACCTGTGTGCGGTCGCAGGAAGCGATGTGGATGCTGGGAGAAACCATTGGGAGCAGGGAGGGGAGGATGGACGTGTGTGTCGCCGCGGCGGGCATTCTCAAGGGTGACACGCCTTGCTTGACCTACCCCGGGAAGCAGTTCAAGGACGTAAGTGCTTATACTTTCTCCCCGGGGTTAGTTCAAATTTGACCTGATCACAGGTTATAGCCGTGAACGTTAATGGCGTCTTGTTCACTGCGCAGGCTGCAGGGCAGCAGATGGCCAAATTCAACAACGGCGGGAGTATCATTATGATTGGTAGCATCAGCGGAAGCGGTGCGAACCAGGTATGTCGCAGCATCTCCATCGCCGAGTTATTGAAGACGGGCACTTACTACCTCGAGCCGTAGGGTCATCCATGGGTATCGTACAATACGTCGAAGTCGGCCGTGCTGCAGATGGCACGCAGCATGGCGTGTGAGCTTGCTCCCCAGGGCATCCGTGTGAACACGATTAGCCCGGGGTACATCAACACCAGGTTCGTAACTCACTTTCGGTCTACCGTGAAAGTGCGTTCATCTACTGCGATGTGCGTAGCATGACGCACCAATTCTTGCAGAAGAAGCCGGAACTGCTCAAGCGATGGGAGAACAACAACCCAATGGGCCGAATTGGACGACCAGACGAGTTGCGCGGAGCGGCAGTATGGTTGGCGAGCGACGCTAGTACGTTCTGCACGGGTAGCGAGTAAGTGCTTCCGTAGTGCGGGCTGTAACTGATAGAACCATGCGACTAACCTACGGATATCAGCATTCTTGTGAGCGGTGGTCATCACGCATGGTGAACGAGAAGAATCCAGTGGGGAGACAAGACCTTGGGGTCGCAAAAGGCCTCGTCAATGCAAGCAGTGAGTATAGTTAACGTCAACACCATTCAGAGAGGTACTATCTCTCCTCTGAAAGCGGCGATCTTTGTGAACCTATGCCTACGTACTGCAAGATTGTTTACTTTTACATACGTCCCTTTCCGCCGTCTGAAAAAGTCATCCTGACCTGATCTAATTTGAAGAAGCACTGGCGGTCGACTTCGAGCCTCTTGACGAAACTGGCCTGTGCTTGCGAAAAATTGAGTCTGTAAACTGAGCGATGATAAGCCAATGTGTATTGAGTTTACGTCTCGATGCGCCGTGGCATACATGGGTCACCATACAAGTCGTTTAGACGGGTAATGAAGATGAATGAACACCGGTTACTAATTGGAGAAGTTGAGGTAACGGACGCCGCTCGAAGGGCCAAGGCGCCGGGTTGTCTGACAGAACAAGCGCCGACGTCGTGATTGTACAAAATTCCGCGGGTCTGAGCACTGAAATAATACCGCGCAGGCTGCTCCGGGTTTGCAAAAAAAGTGGTAGCATGAGTGTAGCAATATCAACGAAGACAAAGATTTTACCGAAAAAAGGGCCTAACTGGGAATTGAACCCAGGACCACTCGCAATCGGTAAACACCCAAAGCGAGTATCATACTTCTAGACCATTAGGCCTTGAAGAAACCTGCTATTGATTCTCTCCAGTACGAATGGTTGATTGTTACAATGAGGCTTGCTCGAAGGTTTAGCATTTCTTTCCATCGCATTAATGGTGTCAGAATCATACAACAGCGGAATTCGTCCCAAACTAAACCAAACCTACAGCCTGATCCCCCATTCAACCTTCTCAGACGCTCATTTTCATCGCTATGGTCGGATGCGGGTCGTACCCCTCAACGACGAAGTCCTCGCCGGTGAACTCGTCGATGCTCCCCACCTCTCGTGGCCATCTGATCTTCGGGAACGGACGCGGCGTGCGTGTGAGCTGCGTGCGGAGCGCATCGACATGGTCGCGGTAGACGTGCGCATCCCCAAGCTGAATTACGAGCTCATGGGCAACGGTATCGGTGACGTGCGCGATCATGTGTGTGAGCAGCGCGTACGAGGCGATATTGAACGGGATTCCGAGCCCAAGGTCTGCGGAGCGTTGGTACATAAGGCAGGAGAGACGAGGACGCGCGGTGGGGTCGTCCGCTGGGGGGAGATGGACGTAGAATTGGCATATCATATGGCACGGCGGGAGGGCCATTTGCGGGATGTCTGTGTGTAGAAGTCAGATTAAAATGGAGGTGGGGGGAGGGGAGAAGGATAATGAGCATACCTGCTGGATTCCATGCGGTGAGGATGATGCGCCGGTCTGTGGGATCGTGCTTGATTTTATGAATGCACTCCCGGAGCTGGTCGACACCCTTGCCGGAATAGTCAGCATCGCAGTCGTCGTACTGCGCGCCAAAGTGCCGCCACTGGAAACCATACACGGGCCCAAGGTCGCCCTCACGGCGGTGACCCAGGCCGCGCTTTTCAAGGAACTCCTTGGAGCCGTTGCCGTCCCAGATCTTGACGCCCTTGGCGGAGAGTTGCTTAGAGTCCGTGCAGCCATGAACAAACCAGATGAGCTCTTCGACAATACCGCGCAAGAAGGTGCGTTTGGTGGTGAGGAGGGGGAGGGTGTTGTCCGCGAGAGAGAAGCGGAGGTTGGGGGGCGCGAAGAGGGAGAGCGTTCCGGTGCCTGTGCGGTCTGGGCGGACAGCGCCTGTGTCGAGCACGGTGCGGATGAGGTCGAGGTACTGTTGCTCGTCGTGCGGACGCGTCGGGGGCGGGGCGTCGGTCATCGCGGTCGGAGGAAAACGCGTTGTTGGCATGCGTTGACGCGTCGGTTTGAGGGAGAGAGCACGATCACGTGGGAGGACGCGCGTGATGATGCACACGGTTTGTCGCCCAGCCACGCCTTCCTCTTCGCCTTCTCCTCCTCCTCCGCTCTGCTCCGCTTCGACCTTTTGCTCTCTGAGTCTGTACCCTGCGCTGTACGACATGCCGCTCGCGACGAAGACACGGACCACCTCTGCCCGCGCCACACGCGCCGCCTCGTCCTCAAAGTCTGCCAAACCACCGTCCGCGGTCTCGCCCGACGACCTCGCAGACAAACTAGCCTCCAAACTCTCCATTTCCGATCCTAAGGGAAAGGCCAAGGCGACAGATGTAACGCTCGCACAGCGCAAGGCAGACGCTATGCGCGCTGCTAATGCTGCCTCCAAGAGCCTCTCCGCCATCGCAGAGTCGGGATGGAAGGCCTCCCAGTCAAAGTCCGACAAATCCACCTCCGCCTCTGCTGTCAAGCATGCCACCACCGCCCGCAAGGAGCTTTCCACGCTCCGCAAACTTAGCTCTGGAGAGGTCGACGTCGAGCGCGCTGCATCCAGTATAGTCGCCAAACTCATCGCCCTCGAAATGGTTCGTCCTTTCTCCATTCCGTATGCCAGGCTTGCCCTAACGCCCCCGCAAGTATCATGCTGCGTCCGGCATCCTTCAAGACATGCGCATTCCACTCGTATCTCTTTACTACCCCGACGCGCCGTCTACGTCATCGTCCTCTGCGAAAGACCTGCTTTCTCTACCTTTGCACGACGGCCCTCTCTCTGAACTCCATCTAACTCTCATATCATCGTATCTCTTGCACACCCTCACTATCGCTCTGCACACATCTACTGACTTCAACGCGCTCTTCCCTGCTCTTCGTGATTGCACCTCACCGACGCTTCTTGCTTGGGCACCCACCCTCTCGAATCTGCCCGAGAAGCAGCACGACTACCTTTTCACTCGAGCGTACACCATGGTCTCTCGCTTTGCATCGTCCTCTGGGTCGGCCGCCGCACATGTCTACTCACTGCGCATGTATTCTTTGCTCTGTCTCGCACACACTCGTCCTTCTGTCATCTCGCCCAATACCTTCTGGGACCAGGCCATCAAGTTCGCCGCCGCGTACGCCAATTCTGATGTCGTCAAGCCTGCAGAAGGGGCTAAAATGGTTTTGGAAGAGTCCGCACGCCTTATCGAGTGCGCAGAGAAGCGTGACGATTGTACGGAGTTCATGTCCGGGGTGGCGTACGCCCGATTTTGCGAGTATTGGAGTAGATTTGCGAAGCAGGTGCGTCTGGAGAACTCGCAGACCTTCGTTTGGGACCGTTCATAACGGGTTGCCCAGGCTGGTGACCTGCGTACACTCGAGCAAATTAGCCGATACACCCAACGTTCCGACGGGCACAACGACGCGACTTCGGACCAAGACCGCGCGGTCATTGAGGCGTCCGCCTTATCTACCACGTTAGCCCGTGCACTCACCGTACTCGAGGCATGGTCAGGTACGCCGCACCTTCGTGCACAGGAACGAACGACTTCCACCTCACCCCACCATCCTTTACACAGACCATTCTGTCGAAGTCGCTGAGAAGCTGAGAGACGCGTTGAGCGCGCTTGGGCGCTGCGGCCCGTCGTTCATCCAAGCTGGTGACGAGCATGACCGCGTTAAGCGAGGTGTTGAGAGACTCCGGCGCGCAGCCATTAAGATCATCGAACCTCCAAAGGGCGTAGACCCTCCACCTCCGGCCGTACGCGAGTGTGCTCGCGACGTCCTGGAGCAGATCGTTGATTTACTCTGCGAGAAGGTGAGCTCGGCTTGCGCGCGCGGCGTACCAGAGATTCACCATATCCACAGAGAGACGTGTATACGTCTACAATCGTCACCGGGGGCGTTGAGAGCCTTTTCACGCTCGCTCGCGCCACGTTCGCGCCCAACAATCCGGATACTTACTCTACTGCGCGCACATATGTCGAGCGCGCCGCCGTGCTTGTCTCGCATGCCGCCTCTTCCCCTACAACCCCTTCGTTGTCCCCCGCACAGCTTGCAAACTATACTCGCTGCGTCGCAGGGGCGCACTATGGCTTCGCGTTGCAGCTGCATCAGGGCGTACGCCTCGCGCACGCGGTGCCGTTCCTGGAACGCGCGTGTGTCCTTGCGGAGGACGCGATCGCTGCCTACCGCGCCGCAGCGGAGGCGGCGGGTGGTGGGGAAGGAGAGGATGCGAAGGGCGAGGCGTGGCGGCTGCTGGATGAGCAGTTGTATCGCCGGTGGGAGCTGCTCGGTGTGTGCCATGTCAAGACAGGCGACCGGCAGCGCGCGTACGACGCGTTCGTGCGGAGCGTTAAGGCGTTCCCATACGCGCGCTATGGCGTCGCTGCCCGCGCGGCGTCGTTAACGATCCGCGCTTTATTCGATGGTGAGGGCGAGGGCGCATCGTCGCTCAAGCACCTTGGCACGTTGGTGGATAGGGTCACGTATATGGCTGCATGCGAGCTGTTCCGTGCCCCAGCAGAGGTGCCCGTCGCGGCGTGGGCCGACTTTCCAGATGTTGGAGCCGGGGCTGGCACTAGTGCGGGACGTGGTAGGGCCCAAGCGAGTGTCGTTGGTGCGTTGATGGAACGCCAGCTCGCGAACTTGGAGGAATGTAAGTATAAGGCGGGTGTGCGGGAGGTGCTGTGCGCGCTCGTGGACGGCGCGCAGAGGGTGTACGAGGATACAGGGCTGTCGGTGCGATGCGTGAGGGTGTTGGTGAAGAAGCTGGAGATGTTGTATTATGCCGAGGGTGGGGAGGAACAGTATGCGGATGTGAAACGGCTAGCGGAGCAGATCCTGGCGCTATTGTTGGATGCGGTACGTGGTTCGTTACTTTCGAAGCCCAGATGACGCTGACGACCGACGTAGAACACGGGCCACGACACGTCTCTCGCGCGGTTCTCGCCCGAGCTCCGCGCAGCGACCCACCTCTGGCTCGCCGCGCACGCGCACAAAGCTCGCACACCCGCGCTTGCTGCTGCCGTCGTCGCGCATGCCGAAGATGCTTGCCGGATCCTCAAGGCTATGGTCCCTGCTGCGACCTCGAGGGCATCGCTGGGTGTGGGTAAGTCGCCAGAGGCAGAGAAAGGGCTGAGGAGGACAGGGAGAACGGGAAGAGGCGCAGTGGGGACGAGGGCAGCAGTGGGGGAACCGGCGAAAGGAAGGACAGGGCCTACAAGGACAAGGTCAACGAAGACAGTCTCTGTTGCGCCGCCAGTTACGCCTATGCGGAGGAGGGGTACGTCTACGTAGGGGGTTCTGCGTGCGTTGGGCTAACGGCGACGTCTGCTTGTGTAGCATTGGACCCTGTCTCGTTGAACGCGGCGTCGGGGCCTTCGCCGAAAGCGAGCGGGCCCGCGGCTACGCAGGGGAAGATGGAATTTGACGATTTCGACAGACTTGTGAGGCTGATCCGTAGGTCTCCTTTCATCGCGGTGAGTGGTTGTCGAGTCCTCACCAAGGATAATGCAGGCATGGTTTCGCACCTGGTTGGATTAGTAGGGCATGTCCTGGCCCGCATCCAGCTGCTCAACGCTGCTCGCCGTTTGACTGAGCGGCATACCGGAGTTGCGTCGGAAGGTAAGTGCACCCCTGGCCGACGCTGTACAACCCGGTTGATGATTTACTAGTGTACGTCTCGTTGACGATCGACACGGCGCACGAGTACGTCAAGCTTGGAAGGGCGGAGAAGGCCGTGTCGGTCCTTGCACATGTGCTTCCTGCTATACGGAGTGGCACACTCCCCCAGGAAGTGGTCATCCTGTTCTTATTGCGCTATGCTGAA